TAACTATTATGGAGATTTCTATTGTGGTTTAATTGGGAGAGAAAGGTCTAGCTAACATGCTGCAGTGGAACTCAGCTCTGCAGCAGATCACTCTGCCTTGGCTGGGCCCTGGCCAACGGCATAGTCGCACTTTTACCTAAGGTAAGCCTCCAATAACAAATACATTGAGGAGCTGAACATATGATAGCACTAAGGAGCTAAAATATAAGAAGATATTAGCTGGTGAAGAGCCAGAGAAACAAGCCATCTTGATATAAGGGTCCTGAGTCACTTGCATCTAGATCCTGGGCCCATTCTGCTTACCTGGCCAGACTGAACCAGTTTGAGTCTCAACTGTCAATCCCAGATGAAGAGGTTCGGGAACCAACAGTGAAGGTTAAGAGAAAACAAGGGAGGCTAGGTAGGAAGTGTCAGGACTGGGGAGAAAAGCAGAGGAAAGAGAGCAAAGTGTGTCAGGCAGAAAGAAAGGAATAGGCTCGAAGAGATGAAGGCAAAGTGAGTGAAGAAAGAGTACGGCAGGAAGGAGAAGGCAAACAGTGAAAGGAAGGACAGCATTTTCAGGGGTAAAATGACAGGAGAGTCAGCCCACCCTGGTGCAAAGTCCACGAGTGCTAGCAAAGACAGCTAGATATTAATAAAGGAAGGGAGCAAAGGGATCAGACGTCATTAAGTATAATAAACTAGGAAGCTGAGTCGGACACTAAGCCTGCTTCAGTAGGGGGTTGAGCATTCACAGGCTCCCCAGGGGCCTGCTGTATCGGGGCCTAATCCCTGAAGAGGATAGGAAGGTCCATTATTGGTCATTACCAGGGGAAGAAGAAAAACAGCTGGAGAAATTCCTCTGCTGGACACATGCCCAGTAGAAGCCAAGACGGTGCTGGGGGAGGTAAGCGCTTGCCCAATAGGGGCCAAGATGGTGACCATGGCACAGCACCAGCCAGAGCACAGCTGGGAACACAGACTAAGCAAGTCAGTGAGGACAGGGACTGAACTTGACTGAACCAATGGCACAGAATTCATGGGCACTGGCCTTTGCTCTTGACTTGATGAAGACAAGGCTGGACTTGTTTCACAGTGGGACAGAGCTGAGTCCAGGGCAGTCCTTTGATTTTGCTTCTACAATAAATCTTACCACTGCTTCTCATCCTCCCATACACAGGTTTCCAGAATGCTTTCCTATCACTCTGTGAAAGGACTCCAATTCCACTGGCAACACTGGGATGTCACTGTTAGCTCTTCTGAACACACATACTCGCCAGGCTGTCTTGGCCACACTGAGTACACTGAGAGAGCTAGAGAGCAGGAATCCCAGCTTGCCCTAGGACAGAATCTGGCTTTCCCAAGGAAGTAAAGCTTGCTGCAATCCATGAGGCATTCATATGGCTGGACAGGAGCTATATTCTCCTTAGGTGACAGCTTCAAAGAGATACGACTCAAATTGGGCAAGTGTAGGAGATACCTGGGCTTACATGCCTGGTGCCCAAAGGAGCCAATATCTCTTGTAATAAGTCCACAGGCATAGCTTCTAGGGTCTCCACAGAGAATATGACTGTTAAAGGGAAATCCAAAGCGATGCTGTCCCCCATCAGGTATTTATAATTTATTCATAAAACTATCTGTCCAGATGCAATTAAGCAATTAGGAGTCATCTTTGTTATAAGTTATGTTGCCCAGAAACCTAGATGACATTTTTATCCTTATAAGGTTACCAAGGGAAGACAGCTAGAGAGTTAATTGAAGGTCATATTCTCAAGCAGCAAGGGAAAGAATTTATTAACCCTTTGTTCACCAGGAATCTGAATGTCTCTGGCCAGTCAGCTCTGAAAGGGATGATAAATGAATTTGTAACAATACTTCTATAGCAGCTGTTGCAATATTCACTGAGCAAGATTTTTCTCATATTGCCATGGAAACATAAGTGCTGTACTTATAGCAGTGAGAGAGACTAAGCGGGTCCACAGTCTGTCAAGTAGTTACTAAGAACCATCAGGGAACACAGTACCCTACTAGGTGCTTGTACACATGTCTCCTTTGACTGAAAAATGTTATCACTGCTCTACCAAGAATTAATTTCCCAAAAACCTGCACAGTTGGAACATATCTTCATTTTCTACTTACAAATCAGGTTTTTGTCCTGGTTGCAGTTCATGCTGAGGTACAGGGTAAAGAGCTTCATAGATTCTTTTATCTTTAGATCCATGAATTGCAAATGAATTGAACTTTGTCACATTTGGTGGAAAATAACTCCAAGGAAGATAAGCTCTGCCTTCCCATTTTGTCTCTCCTCTGGACACTTCGAATGATAGAGAAAGTTCTTGCTACAGAAATGATATGTGAAATATAAAAGTTAAATTCAGATTTATAAGTTAAACATATATATTAAATATTATAATGTATACATAGATCTTATACACTTAAGAACTTTGTCTCATATTTTTATTTACTTACTTTCCATACATTTCTTCTTCCAGATAATAAAAGCACCAAATGTTGTCCATGGCTGTGGAAATTAAAATTCCTCATGAGTGTATGAAAGAAACAAACATTATTTTCTTCACTCTTCTTTATATCTGCAATGTATGTAACTAAATTTCCAAATAATCAAAAGATGGCCCTAGCCAATTTGGCTCAGTGGATACAGTGTTGGCCTGTGGACTGAAAGGTCCCGGGTTCAATTCCTGTTAAGGGCGCATGCTCAGGTTGTGGACTTGGTCCCAAGTAGGGGGCATGCAGGAGGCAGCTAATCAATGAGTCTCTATCATCATTGATGTTTCTATCTCTCTCTCCCTCTCCCTTCCTCTCTGAAATCAATTTTTTTTAAAAGATGCAAATTGAATACTGGATAATTATAGGAAGAACCAGGGTGTTTAGTTACTTAGAAATGCCATCATGAAGGTATGGTCAATTACCAATTATCTGGAAAAACCCAGATAATTATATTCAAAAGCTACACATGGCCCTAACCGGTTTGGCTCAGTGGATAGAGCATCAGCCTGCGGACGGAAAGGTCCCAGGTTTGATTCTGGACAAGGGCATGTACCTTGGTTGCAGGCACATCCCCAGTAGAAGGTGTGCAGGAGGCAGCTGATCAATGTTTCTCTCTCAACAATGTTTCTAACTCTCTATCCCTCTCCCTTCCTCTCTGTAGAAAATCAATAAAATATATTTTTAAAAAAAGCTACACATGTTCAGATTGCTTTTTATATTATTTAAATATAAAACTATATAAAAGATTTCAGTCAGAAGATGAAAACTCAGCAAAGGGGTGGGAGATATTATAGTATTTGGCATCTATAATAATAAAAGCGTAATATGCTAATTAGACCAGAGTCCTTCCAGAGGAAACTGGGGCTTTGAGGGAAGCCAGTGCTGGTAGCTTGGGGAAGAAATGCCTACTCTTGCATGAATTTCATGCATTGGACAGACCTCTAGTCCTATCTAATAATAGACAAACATGGTAATTGACCATACCTTCACTATGCCTCCCATTGGCTAATCAGTGAGATATGCAAATTAACCGCCAACAACGATGGCGGTTAATTTGCATAGTAGGCACGAAGCAGCAGAGCAAAGAATGAAGGCGGCTCCGGCCGGAGCAAAGGCTTGAATCCTGGGTGCCGGAGGAAAACCAGTGCCGGCAGCAAGGCTTGAGTCCTGGGTGCCGGAGGAAAACCAGTGCCGGCAGCCAGGGGAAGGGAAGGCCTATTGCACGAATCTTTTCGTGCAACAGGCCTCTAGTTTATAATAAAACTAGTTTCAAAAACAAAAGTACCCTAAGAGAAGCTGGCACCAATTTTCAGGTGAATCCAACAACTTTACTAAAAGTTATTTCTATAAGAAAACTGTCTTGAAGCTCATGAGGAATAAAGAAAATGTAAAATATAAGTTGTCTAAAACTGTAGCTGTCTGCCTCTTGTGTTTTCCTGCTTTCTACCATTAGTTCAGACACCAATGTCACATTTTCAAAGAGAAACAACATATCCTCAAAAGTAAAGTCTAATAAAAGAGCATAATTGGGACTAGCCAGGTCAATAAGAATCAAAGATTTTTGAGTAGTTACATGAAAGAAATTTATTGTCTCTGGAAAAGACTATATCTAAACACTTCTATACAGATAGTCTATTGTGAGCTTTTCAGGGAGGATTTCCTTCCGAAAACTATTCTAACACATGACAAGTATTCTTTCCTCTGCTTATTTTTATTGTTATGATGCAAGCTTAATAATATCCTAAGAGAAGTAAAAGTTCTTATGAATGAAAACAACAATATTCTTCACATTGTTTTCCTAGAGACTAATTGTTACAGGAATTGATTGCCTGAAGCAAAACCTTGATTCTTGATTATTGATTGTACCGATATATATGAAACCAAACTACTTTAAGAATTTTTTAAATTTTTAGAACTTATTAATTTTGTACATAATAGTTATTATGTAATATCTTAACAAAAGAGAATCTAATTATCCTATTCATCCAGTGCTAAGTAATCTCTTTATGAAAATAAACTGGTATTTTTATCTAATAAAAGTAAAACCAAGGATGAAACTTTAGAATTTTAGTAGATCCAAGTTCTTTACTCTCTTGTAGACAAGTTATAAATCTATTTGCCTTATTCTCACCTGTATGGTGAAAATAATCATACAATGGGTGAATATTTTTTTTCCTCATGTGACAGTTTATGACAATCATATTTTTCAATAAAATATTTTGGCATGTTAGTTGAAAGGTAACATACAAAGATACTAGGTTATTCCTCTGAAAAATATAATTGGAAACAGCTACATTTTCCACATTAGAATTAGCAAAAAAATCAAATTAAGGGAAAAAAATGATATCTAAAATCTTGTTTAAATTGATTGTTTGGAACTTTCTGCCCAGCCTACAAAGGCTAATGGATAATAGATACTGAAAGACATTTAAATGCCATTTAAAATGATCATCACAATACAAAAAAAAATTCATTACTCAATATTTTACTAACTTAAAATTTGTTATAATATCGATGAGAGGTGGGCATAAATTCATTTTTTCATATCTACAGGACAAATATCATTCTGTTTTCCTCTAAACACAATGCCCGTAACCTTGTGCTGAGGGATGGGGGTGACCGGGGAGAGGTCAATGGGGGGAAAAGGAGACTCATTTAATACTTCAAATAATAAAGAATTTAAATTTAAAAAAATGAGGACTAAATGAAGAAACACATGAATACATTATTAACAAATACATAAAATGAAAGTGTGGTTATTTTTAAAATTTCTTAAAAGAAACATTTTCATAAATTAGTTTAATTTATTATATCTATATGTCTCTATTTCTGAGTAGCTAGGACATAATGCCAATTTATAGAATAAATAATGAGTTTCTGTTTTATTATACTATTTCATTTGCAAAAAAAAATTATTTTCAAATTTATTAAAAAGACCAACTACATAGTAAAATGAAAATAACATCAACGTACTATTTTCAAATATCTGTAATATATACAGAGTGTGACAAAAGTAGGCTTACAATTGTTTGGGAAATAATACAATAATTAATAAATAATAATATAAGAATAAACTCTGTTTTGCATACTCACAACTTTATTTATTTTTATTTTTATTTTTTCACGTGTCGGAGCCCAGCCCCAGATGCAAGTCCATACTCACAACTTTAAACCCACTTTTGCCAAACCTGTTTTAAACATATATTTTAAATTATACAGGTATTTGAAAATAAGAAATTATACATAGTTCAGATTGGCATCTGCCCTAGTTTGTTGAAATTAGCAAATTTTTACTATGACCACATGATTTATACCTAGAAAACAATGTGTTCAGGTAATATAGTAATGAGTTAAAAAAAAATTTATACTTACGGGCAAAGTTCAACTTCTAAGTACTGTTCGGTTATGTCATTCAAGAAAAATGCTTCTACAACTTTTGAAAACAGAGATATAAAATACTGAGAATTTAATTATGCTTCAACAAAAATTATTTATTCCTTTAGAGTATAAAATAAATTAACTCATTATTTTTAATTATAGCTATATCCTCAGTAGGAAAAGGGACAAAGATAATAAATAGACATTGCTTAGAAATAAATCACCATCAAATTTTTCCATATCAGATTGCCATCAATTAAAAAGATGAGTAAAGCCTAGTGCTGGTGAGGTTGTAAAGAAATCAACATTATCATATAGACTTTAGGCCAATTATCTTTTTCTGGGAATCTATCTTAAGGAAATAATCAGACAACTAGAAAAGTAAGTAAATATAATGCTAGTCATCAAAGTATTGCTCAAAAATTAGATATTACCTAAATGGTTATCTCCTATTATATAGGATCATTGCCTATTATATAAATAAATCTTCTATTATGTAGGAAAGCTACCATATAAATTATGAAATTTATGTATTCTATGCATGTAACCATTAAAATTAAAGACAGTTAAATATTTTTTGATATGAAAAGATATCCATATTTGACAAGTAGGCTACAGAGCAATAACCAAATCAGCAAATAAGTAAACCTTTCAATGTATTAATAAGTGATGCTACAAAGAGAATAAGGGGCCAGGTCATGAAAAATCTTATATAGAAATCATATTAAGAAGAACTTATCTGGGGGAGGAGCAGAAGCCTGAGAAGGTTTTTAAGTAGCTGAATGATGACTTTAAATTTTTCTTTATTTCTTTTTAAATGTATCTGTATTGTTGAAAGTATTACAGATGTCCCCTTTGTTCCCCTATTGATAGATCACTCGACATTTCAAGAGAGAAGGATAAAGTTAAGGGCAAAAAGACTATTTAGAAGTCTCTGTCCTATTTGAGGTAAAAGATGATGAAGTGATGATGAGAATGAAGGAAGGGTACTGAAATAGAGAAATATTTAGGATAGGAAATTGGTAGGACTTAATAGATAAATCCAAACATAGAAAGTGAGAGAGAATATCTTGGAAAAAAATCACATTTCTATATTCAGTGATTTGATGTATTTAACTGCCATTGATTGAGACTGGGCAATTAGCGAAAGAGCAGGTTTATGAGAAAAGTGGTTAAGTTGAGTTTGGTACTTGTTGAGTAGATAAGTCCCACTGGTGTGTACACCAATAGGAAGCTGATATATATAAGCTCTGTATCAGTAATAGACAACATACGGCTAACATTTTATAAATTAATCTTGACAAAATGCATGCCGTACAGATGGTATAAAGTAGATGTTAGTAGGGACTAACAGCCGTGGGCAAACTACAGCCCACGGGCCGGATCCGGCCCGTTTTAAATGAATAAAACTAAAAAAAAAAAAAGACCGTACCCTTTTATGTAATGATGTTTACTTTGAATTTATATTAGTTCACACAAACACTCCATCCATGGTTTTGTTCCGGCCCTCCAGTCCAGTTTAAGAACCCACTGTGGCCCTCGAGTCAAAAAGTTTGCCCACCCCTGGACTAGAAGAATCATCCAAGGTTTCTTTGGTCCTGGACGATATGGCTCAGTTGGTTGGAGTGCTGTCCTGTGCACTGAAAGTACATGGCTTCAATTACAGGTCAGGGCACATACCTGGTCATGGGTTCAATTTCCAGTCAGGGCACATACCTAGGTTGTGGGTTCAATCACCGGTCAGGGCGCATTTGAGAGGCAACTGAACACTGTGTCTCTCTCACATGGCTGTTTCTCTTTCTCTCTTACCCAAACCCTCTCTAAAATCAATTTTTTTAAAAAGGTTTCTTTGACTAAATAGAACTTGATTTAGACATTGAACTATGTGCATTAGACGCAGGAGGAACAGAATGAGAAAAGGTACATGGGTGAGAAAGTGCATGGATAGTAGCCGTTTAGAAATCAAGAGGTTTTGGTTGAATATGATAGCCCCATTCATGAGTCCCAGAAAGTTTAAAGGAAGGATTTGAACTTTATCTCCGGAATAGTAATGGTTTGTGATCTGGGGAATGGCATCATAAAGAGTCTTTTTACAAAGATAAGTTTGGTAGCTTAATTAGGAGACATTAGACGGGGATCATATAGCAAACCTGAAAGTGTAATTTTATGGTGTCTTTTAACCTTCGTTTGATATGTGAGATTACTTGTCAGTACATATAAAATAAAAACTACATTTCATATTGAGGTTGATAGTGTTTCTATAATAAGTAAAACACCCTAAAACTTCCATAAAGAAGGTTTATAAGGTTAAAGTGGCAATCTGAAGACAAAACAAGAATGCTGAACTCTTCTCAGACTAGGTAACAGAAGTAAAGGAAGGACATATGGCAGCAATTTGGAAGTCTGGATTTGTAATTGCCATTTTTCACTGTTCTAGTTATAGAGTTAAAGTCGCATAGGTAATGGTGAAAAAGTCAGAATGAGAGATTGGTAGGAAATATCACACACTGCATATGTCAGTTGCTCAGAAGCACTCACTTCCTTACAGCAAGATAAAATAATAGCTCTGTGAGAGGTTATTACAAAAAGATTTATGTCTGCAATAAAACACCGTACTTCCACTTACCTTCATAATCCCACAGTCCCTTGAAAGGCTTTCCTGGTTCTCCAAGCGGGGCTGGAGGATCATTGAAAAATGGAGCACTGACTTTCAACATCACTCCTCCATCACCTGGGTTCAGCCTGACAAACACTGGTTTGTGCGTCACTGGAGAACCATCCCAAGTGTGTTCAATTTTAAAATCCATCTTTAGACTCTAAAGGGAAAAAAAAGACACATTAAAACAAACTCTTTAACAATTTAGAAATGTTTCCTTTATTCAGAAATGAAGTGAAAATTTCCAATAAGCCAGCAGGTCGACAGCAGTGTGACGAGAAGAGGGTTCTGAGAGTCCAAAGGCCATTTGTGCTGTGGCAAAATAATGGACACTGAGTTTTACCGTAAAATAGGTAGTTGGACCCAAAAAGCTTTGAGACTTTAAGTCTAGACCCAAAATTGTTTCTTTTTACAACTGTAATTAAGCCCACTGGAGAAATTGTTCATGTACTTAACAACTATAAGCATTATGAGTTTTTATGCCATTCTTTGTCATTTACTGTAAAATGTGCAGGTGTCTAAACTATTGGGTCCCTTGAGAACCAAGATCTTTAAAATAAAATTCAATTTGAATAAAATATTCTATCATTCAGCAGAAGCATTTCTGTTAGTACCTATTCTTTTGGTTAAAACCTTGGTTTTTTTGGGGGGTGGGTGGGGGGAAAGGGGACTCCAACTATTTGAAGGTTAGTAAACTTTAATATTGTCTGCCTTGTTCTCAGGGTATAGATTTTCTTAATCTATTTAAAAAAAATTTAAATGTGTTTTTATTGATTTTTAGAGAGAGAGGAAGGGGGAGGGATAGAGAGACAGAAACATCCACGACGAGAGAGAAACATCATTGACTGGCTGCTTCCTGCACGTCCCCTATGGGGATCAAGTCCGCAATGTGGGCATGTGCCCTGACGGGCAATTGAACCTGTGACCTCTTGGTTCCTGGGTCAACTCTCAACATCTGAGCCTGCTAACAGCTGGGCTTCTTAGTCTATTTCAAAGTTTAAATGCTGACAGATTCTTTTTCCATTTTTCTAAGGGTGAAAAGAGATCAATCAAGCAATTTGGTCATTTAACACTTGAAATATCAAAAAGTGACACAAGCGGTATTTGCATTTTATACTGTTTTACCAAAGATTAAATGGAAGGACACATTATTATATTAATAAAATTACATATTGTTGAAAACTGCAAATTGGGCGTTTTATAAACATTATATGATTTAATTTCACTAGAAACTAGCAGATGAACTATTATTATCCTCAGTACAAAAGAAGAAACTGACTTGCCGAAGGTCACATAGCAGGCAAATCAAGAAATTGAAACAATACCAGCCATGTTTACCCAGATGAAGTCATTTTGGAATCTGGAGGGAGATGAAAACCTTATTTTAGGGGTAGTGAATTCTCCAAATTATACTAGATTCATATGCCATGTTCAGAGCAGAATCTTGATTAGTAAATGATGATATTTTCACACTGAAATTTATATACCTGAAATCTTTGAAGGCATTTCCTTGTTTCATGTTACTTTTATTGCAAGTAGTAAAGTACTAAATTTTCAATACATTTATTTCATTGAATGTGTATGGAGTACTAGCTATGTGTCAAGCATTGTAAGATCCAAATATATAAGCTCTGTGTCACATAAGGAATCCAACATCTCTGAAAACCTTTTTCTAAAGTATGTAGTTCCCTGGCCAGGCTCAGTTGTTGGAGCATCATCCCATACACCAAAAGGTTGCAGGTTCCATTTCTAGTCAGGGCACATACCTAGGTTGCAGTTTCTACACCCAGTCAGGTGCATATGGTGGCAACCAATAGATGTTTCTTTCACATCAGTGTCCTCTGTCTCTATCTCTATCTCCATCTCTCCCCCTCTCTCCCTTCCTCTCTCTCTAAAAGCAATAAACACTGGAAGCATGGAACAGAGTGTGGAATCTCCAGGGAAGGTGGGGGGAAAGGTGAGGGGGGGGGGAGGTAGTCAACCAATGACTTTGTATGCATATATGCATAACCCTTGAACACATACAATAGGGTGCTGAAGACCTGGGGCAAGGGTAGGGGGTGGGGGATGCGGGGGAGAGGTTGGAGGGAGTCAATGGGAGATAAACTCTAAAATTAAAAAGTAGTTCTGGTATTACAACCCATTTGCAAGTAAAAGCATATTAGAAAAGGATAAGTTTAACAATTTATATTGAAATAAGCTCAGTGAGTGGTAAGACTATAAATATAAATTGATCCTGATTTATGTGGACTTTAGTCCTGACTTGCATGGAATAAAACATTAATAATACATTTATTTTCTTTAGTTAAAATATCTAGATACTTTCTTCAAAAATAAATCTATATCCTCTACCCCAAATTTTGGTAAGTATCTTCTTATTGCATATAGGAAGAAATAAGAATAAATCAAGATATTAGAAATGCTCATTAAAGCTGATTCTGGTGGCAATATACTGAGGGAACATGCTATATTCTTAACTTGGAATTTGACAATCCTGGCAAAACATAGCTCAGCGACTAAGAAGTGTTAGTAGATTTACTCATTCTCCATACAAGCATCATATCCACAAAATGCTGCACACATTAAAGGGTCCCCGATTCTATTCAATAGGTTTCCACTAGAAAATTTTCAACTTCCAGCTCTTTCAGACAATCATCTCTATCTCTAATTGGAATTAAGCCATATTCAGTGATGGGCTCCTAAAAGTGGCCTGTCACTTCCATGCACACATGGTGGTCAGATTTCAAATTACTTCCAAATCTAATCTTACCTGAAGGATAAGAGATTAAAAGATAAAAGCAAAGAGTATAAGACAGTGGTACCTCAAGTCTTTCTATCAGTTCCTTATGCCTTTTCCCCTAAGGTTTTTTTTTTTTTTTTGAGCATTGTTTAAAAATTACTGCCAGAAATATTGACTAGACTTCCACCATCAGGGAGGAGAGTCATGGCTGACATGACCAAGGATAGAATATAGTTTTGGCTTTAATTGCATAAAATTACTTTATTTTCTTACCTGAACAACACAGTTGTTAATCTGCTTAAAGAACACTCATGTCAGTCTAACCATGCATAATATTGATAGTAAAATTACCCTAACAATTACAGTCTGGCCAACTAGTTTACAGTCTAATCTAAATATAGCATGGACCCAGAAAGAGACAAATGATTCTCTCTTCAACTCCCTGGGGATACCTAGGACTGTCTCCTGAGGCTTAACCTCCACCACCTTTCAATTTCTTGTTTGCACATGTACCCAGACAATTAAATAGTCAATGTACTTTTTCATTCCAGGTTGGTGTGCTTCCAGTAGCACTGGACTCCCTGTCATTCTCTATTGCCCCTGCACTGCTCCATTTTGACTCACAGCACTTAAACCACATGACCTACTTGTTTAGTGTCTCTGCTTTCCCATATAGAATGCCTGTAACAGGAACTCAGTTATTTGTTGAGTGAATAATTGTTCTAGTCTCTGGATCTAAAATTTCATGACTCTAAGGTTTTATGAAGAAGAAATCAACTGTGTTAGTGGTATCATTTTCCCTTTCAACACTACATACCAAAATGACAGATAACTGAGATGATATATCGAGAAATTTCCTTTCAATTTAGTTTATCAAAGATTCATTAGCTACTTACAGTTTTTCAGGCACTATGCCAGGTGCTAGGGAAGTAAAAAAGACGTCTATGGGGAGTTGAGCTAATCAACCAGGTCCTTTATCAATTGGTTCACTTTTGCAGACCAATGAAATAAAGCTGGGTCCCTACACCAAACTAAGTTTCAAATGAATCAAAGATTTAAACATAAAAATCAAGCCACATAAAAACAAGAAAGAAAAAAGTGGGAGGATTTTAAAAAAAGACAATAGTAGAAAAAGCCTTTTAAAATATAACCCCAAATCCAGAAGATATAAACACAAAAAAAAAAATGGATAGATACATTTGGCTTAAAGCAGAAGTCTGCCTATCCCCACCAAAAAATAAAACCCTCACCATTTCAAAATCAAAACATAGTCTGGAGAAAAATATCTACAACTCATATTTCAGACAAATAACTAATTTATTTAATCTTTAAAGGGCTCCTAGAAGTCAATAAGGAGAAGACCAAAATCCCAACAGAAAAATGGGTAGAGATATGAACAGCTAATTCACAGAAAGAAAATGCAGAATGTTCAACTTCACTTATAATGATAGAAGTTGGTTAGTGTGTAGCATGTTAGTTAGAGTGTAGTGTGTTGACCTGAGACATCAAGGTTGAGGGTTCAATCTCCAGTCAGGGTACATACAAGAAGCAACCAATGAATGCATAAATAAAAACACCAAATCAATGTCTCTCTGTCTTGCTCTCTTTCTCTCTCCCTGTCCACTCTCTCTCTCTGAAATCAATCAATAAATTGTTTGTTTTTAAAGAAGTGCAAAATAAAAAAATAAATTACTATTCTTCACTTAGATTTTCAAGAATCGGAAAGTTTGACAACATGCTAATGAGGACACTGAGAAGCAATCACACTCTGCTGTTGGGGCATAACTGGCACGGCCTTTGTCAAGGGCAACCCCTCAATAGTTATCTAAATAAAAAATGCAAATACCCTTTGACTCAAAAATTCTAGTTCTAGAAGTTATTAGACTGCACATATTCAAAGTAACATAAGTGTAAAAATATTCACTGCAACGTTGTTTAGAATAACAAAATGTTGTAAGCAATTTAAATACCCATCAGTAGAGGACTGATACAGAAAATATACTATATCATATAAGGAAATACTACATAGCTGTTAAAAGGTGAGGCACTTCTATACATACATCTAAAATATACTAAGTGGAAAAAAGAAAGGTGCAAAAAAGTAAGTATCCAATTAATAAAAAGGAAGACTAATTGCATGTATGCTTGCGAATGCATACAGTATCTCAGGAAGCATAAATAAGCCAGTGGCAGCAGTGGTTGCCCCTTTGGGTCTACCTAACACAGGGGAGGAAGGGAGACGTACTTTCAACAATATCACTTTATTGTTTGTTTATTTTTTTTATCTATTTGAATTTATACTATGATAGATACACATTACTATTCAAAAATACATGAATAATTTAAAACTCTTTTTAAAGTCTAATTTAAGGCTAAGTCTCTCTTTTTTGTTAATCCTCAACCAAGGATATTTTTTCCATTGCATTTTAGAGAGAGTAGAAGGGAGAGAGAGAGAGAGATATGAAAGAGCCCCAATTGGAGATCTAACCTGCAACCTGCAACCCTTTGATGCATAGGCAGACACTCTAACCACTGAAAAACACTGGTCAGAGCGAAGGCTAGGTGTCTTTAAAGTGTATGGTAACTACCTCTTTTCTCCTTTATATTATGTATGCTGAACCTGTCTAAAAAATCAGAATGGATATTAGGAACATTACTTAAAGAATATATTCATTCAAGGTGATCACCACCTTGCTATGTAATTTTAATGTTGGCTCTTAAACTTTCTTAAAAGAATGTTTACTATTAATCCTGTTTTTTCCCCACATTTTAACTGCTATTCTTCAAATTACTCTTTCATCAAAAAAGGTGAAAATTAATTTTAAATTATTTTTATGCTTTCCCTATAAGCAAAGCCATTTAAAAGGACGTGAAGGGAGAAAGAGGAGAAAGAAGTTCAGAGTATTAAAAGCTTAGGAGAGGAGGGAAATTCCAGGAAGGTTAAAAGAAGGGAATTATGGAAAAGGTGTTTCTCAACAGAACGTTTTGCAAGGACAATTTCCAAATTCCACGAAATTTTCTTTAGTTTTCTACAAAACTTATTTCTTTTCCGTTTCCATTCTCCACATACACACACACCCCTTCCCCTCCAGTTAAAAGAGAAAAGGAGAAATGAGGAAGTCAGGCTGGAGAGGGAGTAAACTGTGCCAGCAGGAAGAGGCAGCTGAATAAGTTACCAGAGCAAAAGCTAACGATAAGCATGGGGGAAGGTGCAAGGAATGAGAATGAAAAAGAAAACAACAACAACAACAAACATAAGAGAACACAGACCAGAAAGCTCTTCCTCCACCAGGCTTGCTACATCCAGCTGACTTCACAGGAGCGGACTCAGCTTAGCTCCGCCCAGCTGCCTACACATTCTAGGGGTGGGGCTTGGAGGACTGAAGCAGACACATGATTTTTCTAGGAAAGAAAAATGTTGAAGGACCATCAGTGAACATCTGAAGACTCTTGAAGTGTGAATGGTTTTCTAGATGGAAGAGTAACCCCACAATGTAAATCCTGTGCAACAACTTTAAAATCAACTGCAAAGTATTAAGATTAAAATAGAACATGTACAATGATAATTCACTAAATGCAACTAAATGCTAATTGGCTATATAAGCCAAACCTGGAAATTATATTGTACCAGCTAGAAATAATATTACCCTAGCTGTAAATTATATTACTCTACTGGGAGGCATCTACATAGTGGTCAACAATGGTGACAATGGAACCAGAGTGCCTGGATTCAAATCCCAATTCAGACACTTTCTAGTTGTTATAATCAGAAAGTTATAAAATAATTTTAAAATAGCACATACCTTCAAAGGTTTTTGTAAGAATTAAATTTGTATATATATGCATATTAGTATATTATATATATTTATATTTACATTTAAACAACAGTGAAAAGTGAAAGTCCTAAAATGTTCTTTGACTAGCAATTGTTGGCATGGGTGTTTTCTTAAAAGAAAATAACAGCTGCTGTCTTTGGTAACAGAAAAGGTAGATTTTCAAATGACTTTATATCTTGACCTCTTTCTGCAATAATGGAGTAGTTCTGTATTGCTCCATATAAATTACAGAATAAATATAGAAAAGGGAACATCTGTAATAAAACAGTAAAAATAATTTTTTAAAAAAATAAAAGGGGTAAAAAGCTGGACTAAATTTCACCTTTTCATAGTTTCATTTTTAAAAGTTACATGTAGAATATATTGATCATGAATTGATTATAAACTTGCTTTTTTTCTGAAATTTTTAACTCTGTAATTTTACTCAATTACATGAGCATAAGGGATATTTTCAGTCTCATAATCTTCACTTACTTACAATATTTTTAAAAATATCTACTCAGCCCTAACCGGTTTGGCTCAGTGGATAGAGTGTCAGCATGTGGACTGAAGGGTTCCAGGTTCGATTCCAGTCAAGGGCATGTACCTTGGTTGCCAGCATATCCCCAGTAGGGGGCGTGCAGGAGGCAGCTGATCAATGTTTCTCTCTCATCGATGTTTCTAACTCTCTATCCCTCTCCCTTCCTCTCTGTAAAAAAAATCAATAAAATATATATATATATGTTTTAAAAAATCTACCCTATTATTCTAGTTTTTATACGTCTGTTCATGCAAGAAATTCATTTGAAAGTTTGTGCCGGTGGGTATTATTGGTGCTTTTTGAACTGAAGTGGTTATCTTATAGGAAACAAGACAATGAAACAGGTAGTCTGACTGACCTTTGAGATCATAAAATATGGTTAAGTGTTCTAGAGATGTACACCTGGTTCTGGTTAGTTCAGTTCCACCTGCCCACGCAGTTTCAGTATTTATCGACCTATTTGCCTACATTTACTGTCTCCATCAACAGTGTCGACTTATTGTTTCTATATAGGATTAGATGTATCCAGGATGTGCTTGCTCTTTGCTTTCACCAACACTAATATATCTTATCGACTTTCAGTGTAAATTGTAGAATCAAGTTTATACCTACTTGTTTGATGCCAACTTAAACCACAATATGACAATATTCAAAGTTCAAATGTAAGAAGAGATACAAGCAAGCCCTTGGGGAGTCAGCGAGAAGTTTACGAAGAAAAAGTCATATACTGACCTTTGAAAAAGAGTTGGAGCTTGCACACTCAATTTCTCCTTTCAACAAGTTTTAATGTTAACTTAATGGCTGCTAAAAGCCAAATCAAGTTCAATCTTCACTAACTCAAAGCTAAATTAAACTTTGGTATGGTCATTAGATATACCTCCATAATTAACATAATGTTTAGAGCAGTGGTTCTCAACCTTCCTAATGCCGCGACCCTTTAATACAGTTCCTCACGTTGTAGTGACCCCCAATTTTATTGTTACAAATTGAACATAATTAAAGCATAGTGATTAATCACAAAATAATATGTAATTATATATGTGTTTTCCGATGGTCTTAGGCGATCCCTGTAAAAGGGTCGTTGGACCCCAAAAGGGGTCGCGACCCACAGGTTGAGAACCTCTACTTTAGAGGAAGGGACCATCATATTCTCTTAATAATGCATATGGAGAAAGCCCATAACAGGACTTCAAATACGTACCTATTTGGACACCGTTGGACAAATTTTTTAAATTTCTCAATACATTCTGCTAACATTACTTTGTGTATATAACATTATGAGCACAGGACCACAAAATTTAACTGTTAAAGAAAAGGCCAAATTGAGCTACATCTATGACATGTATGTTTAGTGAAACTACTTCAATCCATAAAAACAGTCTATTAAAAAGCACTAAAACTATTGGCTAGTTCAAGTTAACATTTATATTGCTAGCACTGAAATTTCCTCCAATGCTAACTGTTGAAAAAAAATGATAGGGTTTACAAATCCAGACAAAATCCATTTTAATAATGGGAATTGTAATCCGCCCACAGATGTAAAGTTTTGCCTAATTCTTTTCTTGCAAAAATGTAATTTTTGTTTTTCCCCCTTTGGGGGAAGAAAGTTATCTCTAAAGAAACAACTGCTGAATTTACAGGGCCTTTGGAGTACTTCTAACTACATGCCTCATTGCTACTCAGTTAAATATTCAAACAACTGTCTCCTTTCTCCAAAGACCCGAGAGGGTGAGGACGGTACTTCGTTTCTGGAGATTACCGAGTCCTCACTCAGAAAGCCTCCAGCGGGTGAGCCTTGGTGTGGCCTCTGAAGACGCCAGTCTGAGTTTTGCACCCCCCATCCCCCCAGAACTCCAGATCCTTTCCAAACCTCCCCCTCCCCGCTTTGGAGAGCGGGTTCTCCCAGTCCAGAAGTCTAGGAAAGATACTGGGGAATTGTAAACATCTATTTAATGACCTACCTAGGTTTACATTTTGGGGGTTTTCTTAAAAAAAAAATACCAGCTGGGTCCCCCCACCTGAAGACACAGGCCCGCCAGCTTTCCCGCCACCACTCCGCCGGCTCAGCTGGCTGTCATCCCCCTTCCCACAGCTCCGCTCCCAGCTTGACAAATAGCCAATAGCGTGCGAGGACGCTAGGAAGCGTGATGACGTTGGCGCTGACGCCCGCGTGAGGACGCACGCGGCATCACCGTCTCCTAGGAGCGGTCCAGGGCACCGGTTTCAAAGTCGCAGGGCGGGCCGTTTGGACTTCCGCTCTGGCCCGGCCACCCTGAAGTCGCCACTCCCTCCACGAGGGACGCCACCACCGGGCTGCCCGCCGGCGCCCTCCGCGCTCTGGAAGGTGGCCCGACATGACCCTGAGTGACCGTTGGACGCCTGCACCCACCCGCGTCCCGTCCCACCCGGCTGAGATTCGTGTGAACGCGGGACAGAATGCACTTGGCGGGTCCCCAGCAAACCTGAAAGCTGAAGTCTCTTTCCAGAGCGAGGGACTCGGCTGGGACTCGGGAGGAGGCGCGGCCCCCGTGGACGCCGCGGGAGTCGGGTGCTGATTACAACGCTGGGCAACGTCCGGAGCGGCGCCCTAGGTTTGTCTTCCCGCACACGAGTCCTGTGTCTTTTTGAGGAAAGTAACGGTGGTGGATCCTCCAAACTCCAATTTCATCCCAATGGCCGCAGAAATGGACCCACTGAAAGAGAAAAGTAAGCTCCTTATTCTTTTCCTGAGAATTCTTACCCTGAGTATTTAATGTCATCGTTGACCAACGAATATATTTTGAATGCCTCTTGGGTGCGTGGAAACTCAAGTCCGCTGCAGAAAAGCTTGGTGCTATCTAGGAGGATGTGCATATACTGGAGCAGAACCGCTTGGTGAATACCTGCAGGTTCCTTAAGCTCACCCGGGACTGAGCTAAACATGTTCATTATGCTTCTCACAGGCTCGGGGACATTAGGGCAGCGGTTCTCAACCTGTGGGTCGCAAACCCTTTGGCGATCGAAAGACCCTTTCACAGGGGTCGCCTAAGACCATCCTGCATACCAGATATTTACATTACGATCCATAACAGTAGCAACATTACAGTGATAAAGTAGCAACGAAAATAATTTTATGGTTGGGTCACAACATGAGGAACTGTATTTAAAGGGCCAGAAGGTTGAGAACAACTGCCTTATAGGGCAACAGCTGGGAAGGGTTTCTCCGGCTGCAGCTGGAACCCGGAGGCACAGCCCTGGCCGTGTGTTCAGAGGCTGTTTGTGGAAGTCCTCCCCTTTCAGTGATGTGCCAGAGCTGTATAAGCACAGCTGCCACCAATGTGAAGAGGACAGTTCTACCCTCCAGGAACTTAAATCAAGGAGGGAAATAAGTAAATTCCATAAGTACACTGAAGGGGCAGCAGCTGCTAACTCCTCTGCCTCCATTTCTTCCTAGGTTGTTGGCACGGTTACAATAGTGTTAAAATATGTAAAGGATTTGGAATTGCATCTGACACATGGTGCTAAACAAAAACTAACTGGTATTGTACAGGCTTATTATTAACTGTGGTCAAGGAAGGTGCCATTGGGCTGGAATGTGAAGTACTGATATGAATTTACGAGGCACCCCAAATAGAACAGTATTTGCAACATCGAGGAGGTTAGGAATGTGCTTAGTGAACAACTTGCAAGGAGGTTAGCTTGGATGGAATGTGCTTTATAGAGAGAAATGACAAGTGCAGCTGAAAGGGAAGAGTGGGGCTAGGACCGCTAGGTGGTCATCAGCCTTGTCCGCTATGTGTTCAGGAGTTTGGACTGTTGCACAGGTCCAGGAACCACTGAAAAAAAATCAATTGAGAATAGCATGATCAAACTGTGGTTTTGAAAGCCCAGTGTGGCTGTTGTGAGGAACATGCCTTAGAGCACAGTGCAGTTAGGTGACTTATCACCCAAGTAAGAAATGAACTAAGGTTGGTTCAATGAGATTGGAGATTAGGGGATTTGGGAGAAAGAGGTGGAGGG